ATGGAAGAAACACCTAATTGCCAGAAGGAAAACAGAACTTTAAGCCTCATCTGCCCATTGTATTATATTCCAAAAATACTTCTGGCACCTGTGTATAGCCCAGTGACGTTGACGAAAAACTAGGTTATGATTGAGGTTGGTACTCTGCTTTGTAGTATGCTAGTTTCCCATTTTTTAAATTGAAATAATACTTTTTTTAAAAAAATGATAAGTCGAACAGTCAGTGAGCACCAAAGAAAATAGTGAGCACATTTTAGCCTTCAGGCCTCATATTGTGTTTGGGACCCGAGATTTAGTGTAATATGCATGAGTTATGATAAGTACCTGAAATAGTCCTCACTTCATTTCTTCTATTTGGCCGGGAGGGATATTTTGGAATTTTTCTTTTGTTACTTAAACTGTTTTCTGGCTATACCAAAAAAGATTTGTGTTACCTTTCTTTTTCCTTTGAATTAACATCCATGTAGATTAAATAGGGATGAATTTGGTAATTTCCTCTCCATCACCTGAATGGGAGTATACAAGCATACTGCAAGCATCAGTTTTCTCTTTTTTCTGCTTGACTGCTTCTCTGTTGGGGCTCTACTCTTCTCTGTCTCATGCACATTTATTGATTGGTGTACTTAATAACAATAACAATAAAGTTGGAAGGGACCTTGGAGGTCATCAAGTCCAATCCCCTACTCAGGCAGGTAATCCTATACCATTTCGGACAAATGGCTGTCCAGTCTCTTCTTAAAAACTTCCAGTGTTGGAGCATTCACCGCTTCTGGAGGCAGGTTGTTCCACTGGTTAATTGTTCTATCAGGAAGTTTCTCCTTAGTTCTAGGTTGTTTCTCTCCTTTATTAGTTTCCATTCGTTGCTTCTTGTCCTGCCTTCAGGTGCTTTGGAAAATAGCTTGATTCCCTCTTTGTGACAGCCCCTGAGATTTTGGAACACTACTATCATGTCACACCTCATCCTTCTCTTCATTAAACTAGAGATACCCAATCCCAGCAACTGTTCCTTATATGTTTTAGCCTCCAGTCCCCTAATCATCTTTGTTGCTCTTCTCTGTACTCTTTCTAGAGACTCAACATCTTTTTTATATCGCGGTGACCAAAACTGGATGCAGTATTCCAAGTGTGGCCTTACCAAGGCATTGTAAAGTGGTATAAATACTTCACGTGATCTTGATTCTATCCCTCTGTTAATGCAGCCTAGCACTGTGTTGGCTTTTTTGGCAGCTGCAGCATACTGCTGGCTCTTATTTAAATGATTGTCCACTAGGACTCCGAGATCCCTCTCACAGTTACTACTATTGAGCAAGGTACCCCCTATACTATACCTGTACATTTGGTTTTTCTTGCCTAAATGTAGAATCTTACTTTTTTCACCATTGAATTTCATTTTGTTAGATAGCGTCCAGTGTTCAAGTCTGTCCAGATCCTCCTGTATCCTAAGCCTGTCTTCTGAAGTGTTGGCTGTTCCTACCAGCTTGATGTCGTCTGCAAATTTGATGAGTTCCCCATCTATCCCCTTGTCCAAATTGTTGATGAAGATGTTGAAGAGCACTGGGCCCAGAACAGAGCCCTGGGCATCCCACTACACACTTCCCTCCATGTAGATGTGGTTCCATTGAGGACCACACGCTGAGTATGGCCGGTCAGCCAGCTACGAATCCATCTGCTGGTGATGCTGTCTAACCCACATTTTTATATCTTATTAAGTAGTAGGTTGTGATCTACTTTATCAAATGCCTTATTGAAGTCCAAGTAAATTATATCCACAGCATTCCTCTGGTCCACTAATTTTGTCACTTGGTCAAAGAATGCAATAAGATTTGTCTGGCATGATCTGTTTTTGACAAACCCATGTTGGCTTTTAGTAATGACTTTGTTTGCCTCTAGGTGTTCGCTGATTCGTTGTTTGATTATCTTTTCCAGAATCTTCCCACGTATTGAGGTCAGGCTGATAGGTCTTTAATTTCCTGGATTAATTTTTTTTCCCTTTTTGAAGATGGGAACTACATCAGCTCTTTTCTAGTCCTCTGGTAGTTCCCCTGTGCTCCAGGATCTTTGAAAAATATAGTTCAGTGGTTCTGAGATCACATCTGCCAGTTCCTTGAGAACCTTGGGGTGTAATCCATCTGGTCCTGGTGATTTGAACTCATCTAGGCTGGACAGGTGCTCACTTATCGTTTTCTTGCCTATCTTAACTTTTTTTCTTGTTTTTTACATGTTGAAAGAAGCTTTTTTTGTTATTTCTGACTTTGGTTGCAGGCCTTACTTCATTCTGAGCCTTAGCTTTCCTCACTTCATCTTTGCAGGCTTGGCTATTTGCTGATATTCTGAATTAGTTATGTGTCCCCCTTTCCACTTTCTATACTTGTCCTTTTTATCTTTCAATTTATCAGAGAGTTCTTTATGCAGCCATGCTGGTTTCTTTTGAGAGCTGTTATTTTTCCTCTTTGTTGGTATTCTGCTAGACTGGGCTTTTATTATTCCCCTCAAGGATTCTCATCCATGGAATCCTTCCCAAGCCCTCTCTAAGTTTATTGAAATTAGCTCTCTTGAAGTCCAAGACTCTAGTTTGACTGTGTTCTATTGCTTGAGCGTCCATAACATTGAATTCCAATATTGCATGATCATTTCCTCCCAAGGTTCCTATGGCTTCAACACCTTCTATCATTTCATCTCTGTTAGTGAGAATTAGATCCAAAATGGCTAATTCCCTAGTTCCCTTCTCTACTTTTTGGGAGACAAAGTTGTCTGCTAGGTTTGTCAGGAATCTGTTTGATTGGTGCAGAGTTTGTCTCCCAGTTGATGTCAGGGTAGTTAAAATCCCCTATTACTATTGTGATGGGTTTCCTACATACCTTAGTTAGCTGACTACCAAAAAGTTCATCTATTTCTTCTGTTTGGTTGGATGACCTATAGTATACACCTATGGCAATGTCACCCCCACCCCCATTTTATATTGATCCAAATGCATTCAAGTACAGTTTTCATCATTGTTGTGCTCTGTAAAGATGTAGTTATTTCTTATAGAGAGAGCAAATCCACGTCCTCTTTTATTTGGTCTGTTCCTTTTAAATAATTTAAATCCCTCTAGCTGTGTGTTCTATTTGTGGGTTTCATCCCACCATGTTTCCGTAATGGCAACAATATCATATCTGCCCTCATTAACCTGATTCAGAGCAGCACATTTTCACACATAAAATTGAACTAAGTCCCTTCAAGAGCATCACAATGAACTGGATGGATGCTATGTAAAACAGTTGTAATTGATTTAACATGTACCCATTCTGAAATTGGGAGGAATCATTCAGTACAAGTAACTATTTGTTATCTGGCATCTTTGTAGGGATTTCTATTAGACATTTACCATTGCAACCCATCAAAAATAATTTATTAATCTGATATATTTGTCATCTTTTCTCAGGGAGCTCAAGATGTAGTATTTCTGACAGGAGATACAGTAAGAATTGAATATTAAAGACAATTTACATGATTTCCAATTATAGGGAGAACAATCTCCTTTCATTAATGCTCACACAGATGCACAATGAAATGTTTTTTCACAAACAGTACTACCATTGTCTCACATATTTATGTTTGCACATATTTATCATAGCTACAATATTTTTCTTTAGGCTCTCCAGACATGTATATACTTGCACATGTATACTCCCACACAGACTGCTCACCTTTTCCCCATTAACAATATCTTTTCTCATTCACAAGTGTGTATCTCAGGTACAGATATCCTTCTACATAGTTTCCAAAGGCCAGCTTTACCAATCTAGTGCTTTAGTATATTAAATTAGAACCCAGTTATACATATGTGTGGTTTGTATAAAATGCAAGCTCACACATACCTGTAATATCAGACCCTTGGAAGCCATACAGACATTACCTGAAATATATTAACCTTCCAGTGCCATTCTATGTCCCCTAGCCCACCCCTCCACAAAAAATCCCAAATGAATTAATATAGAAATGCTAGTTAGAAAGGGGAATAAACATGTGTGGCTGGAAGATTAGAATAATGAGTACTTAAAAGTGAGGGAGGAAAGTTGAATAAAGGTTTGCTTATTTTTACTTTTGATGTTCAGTGACTAGTAAATACCAAGATTAGGAAGATGATCAAAACAAGGGCCAGGCTAAAAGAACAGAAAAAAAAAAAACATTTCATTCACACACCAGCTCTTCATTTTAAGGGTATTATGATCTTGCTTTGGGCCTTAGTTCAACAATTCGCACATTCAGAAATTGGTTGCTGTGTTCTGTTTTTTTCAGACTAAAGTACAATACATGCATGTAGGCAGTGACATGCTTAGGCTTAGTAGATAGCAGAAAATTGTATGACATCTCATTCTTACACCCCAAATCATTCAAATGAATGACTGATGATGTTATATGTGGGTTGTGGTTTTTTGTTTTTGGTACTGCACAGCACATGGTATGTTGGCCATTTGCTTATACATTTTTCTGTCCAGCCAGATATTTACAAATGGAAATCTATTTGGAAATATGGATGTAGCTGTACTGGAACACTTTTTATTTTAAGGTAGCTTCTGACTGAAACAAAAGCAAGCAAACTGCTAGAATTACTTTTTGCAATGCATTGTGTATGAGGCTTCAACTCAGGTCAGCAAAGTATATCATGAGAACTCCAGGCTGCACACACCTCTGTTGGGTTCCTTGAAATCCCCCTCAACTGTAATTTTTAGTATGAGAGAAAGAGGAATTATGAAAACATGGAAGCGACTCAAGTAACAATTTACAAGTATTTAAATGAACTGAAATTAAATGTAGTATTTATCCTAAGTATATCTCTTTGTCCTGAATTCTCTACTCTTTGTGGAAATCAGCACATAGCATAATGTTCAAAGTGCCAATTGTAGTTCTTGAATCCAAAGAAGTTACATAATCCTATGTAGATAGTTCTCTAAAGAGGCTTTCTATATTTTTTTATTTTATTTAGGTAATTAAAAAGGGATGCTTTTCTTTTGCAGGCCCTCCATCTGCTCCAGAGAACTTGATTTCCAATGTCAATGAGACATCAGTGAATTTGGAATGGAGTTCCCCCCAGAACAAAGGTGGTCGTGAAGATGTCTCTTACAATGTGGTGTGTAAGAGATGTGGAGCTAGTGATCTGAACCGCTGCCGGTCCTGTGGGAGTGGTGTTCACTTCAGCCCTCAGCAGAATGGATTGAAGTCCACTAGGGTTTCCATTACTGACCTTTTGGCTCATACGAATTACACCTTTGAAATCTGGGCAGTGAATGGAGTATCCAAGCAAAATCCAAGCCAAGACCAAGCTGTGTCTGTCACTGTGACCACTAACCAAGCAGGTAAACTTTTTATTATACTTTAATTTTCCCATTCATTGGAGGTGTCTCTGCCAATTCTTAGTCATCCAGGTCATGGTTGTCCCAACAGTGCTTTTTTCAAGAGGCAACAGGACTTTGTTTTTCCTTGAAGAATTTTGCTTTTCATCCAAGAAGAGATGAGCAGCAAAATGTCTTCAAGGAAAAACAAAGAAAGTCCAGTTTCCTCTTGAAAAAGCACCTTTGGGACTCATTGGAAATAGTAACAATTTTGGAGGTGAAGAGGGCACATTTGAAATTTTAACAGCATATTTTGGATTTGGTCTTGAAATTCTTACCCTAGAAGATTTATCTTTTTTTTAAATATTTTTTTTATTTTTCCAAACTCTCCCGCTTACATATACTGTGATATTTATCAGATGTTAACATACATTCTTTTTACATTCATATATAAGATACTTTTAATAAAATGAAATAAATACATACACATGACTTTTGGTGTTGCTTGCCCATTTCCCCTTTCACTGTATCCACACTCCTTCTTCTCTACCTTCTTTCTCCCTTTCTTCTCTTCCCTACTTCCCTCTTTTTCCTCTCCTTTTCTCTTTCCTTCACCACTCTCCTCTCCTTTCTCCCCACTTCTCCTCTTCTCCTCAAACCTTCCTACTTCCTTCTCCCCTTTTCTCTCTCCTCTTTTCTCTCTCCTCTCCTTTCTTCCCTCTCATCCCTCTTCAGATACAATTCAGGGGTAATGTCCGAGCAACTCCTCTCTCCAAATTTCCCTATCTGTATTATATACAATAAGATTAATTTTCTCTTACATTAATACTTCTATTTATCTAACCTTCTCGGTATATACTTCTATAAATATTTATACAACCCCCAGTTATTTAATACTGTGTCACCTGGGTCTCCCTCCTTATGTGCTCCCCTAGAAGATTTATCTAATCACCAAATGGCTGAAACTGTGGGCATGGCCAGTCGCAAAATTACCAATTTAGCAGAAGGCAGCTTGAGTCCCAAGTTGGTCTCTGCCATTGAAATACCTATTTTTAGAATGTAAGATATTGCTACAAATACGGTTTGATGGGTTGCTTTCAAAGATGTATTCTTCTTACTTAATTTGTTCTGCCGACAGAATCTTTAAATATCAAGAGGGGTAGGAAGCTACATGTTATAAACTGAGGGATGCAAGGAGAAGGTAGGCTTTTGCTGTGAATCGGATCTGGATAAGAACGCCAGTATCTATAAATTGTGTAATAAAATAAAATTTGCAGTGCAAATTCTCTGCATCCAGCACTCAGAACACTTTTTGCTTTTTTTCAACTATCACCTAGCAATCATTTCAACAATCTATAACAAAGAAAAGGAAAACACATTCTGTGATAAAGTTTAACACAATGCTAAAATTGTGAAATATATTCACAGTCATTGTGTCTCTTTGGCTGTATGTACTTGATTGTGTATACTAATCTGTGAAGATATCAGGAGTCATATGATATAGGAAATATTACTTTTTACTGAAATTCATCCTATTCTTTCTTGGGCAGAACTTTGCAACCTTCAACCATAAATTTGCTTCTTTTTATATGGAAGATAAGTAAAGTAGATTCCAAGGAATAAAGTACAAAGATAAATTAGCTTCAGGGTATACTCAAATGTTGGCTTCTAAAAATTATATCCCCTGCAAACTATCACTGAAATTAAACCAATGATTATCATTGTTCTAAAATATATTATTTTGAACAGAATATAAATATATATGCTATAAATAATATAAAGATTAATTTCAGTGTAAATATTTTAATAATTTGCTTTTATCAACCATATGCAGCATTTCAAAAACCAAGTTGGCTTCTAAATCAGAAGGTGGCAATCCAACACAAATGAAAAGTTCACAGTAATTATAAATAAAAGATCTGACCTTTTATTTGTACCAACATTGAAATTATACAATTTGTAATACTATTTAGTTTTAATGAGGCAAAGCCCAACCATATAAGTATTTCCTAGGCAATTGCATAGTGTATATGCCTTTAAATGGGAACAATGTGATACTTTACTAATAATATTTATGTCACGAAGATATAGATTGGTAATCATGGATATTTTCTATTTTATTTATCAACTTGGTGAACTTTAAACACTATAGTTGGCCTTCCAGATTGTTCTTTAATTGTGATGTGCAAAAAGTATGCTCCAAGAGATTCCTTCTATAATGAACTCTTGGGACTCCTCCCTTCCTGCCTCAGAGGCATATTAGGAGTTTCAAGATTGCCTTAAATCAGGGATGTCAAACTGCCGGCCCGCAGGCCAGATGCATCACGTGGAAGCCACGTCCACAGCATTGCCGGCAATGGCAAAACTGTCCCGATATGTTGCACGATGTCACATGACGTCGCGAGTTTGACATGTCTGCCTTAAATGATCTGGACCTGACAGAAGATGCATATTCCTGCTTATACAGTAAGTGTGGATTTGTATTTGTGCAAATAAAACATTTGCAATCTTTTTTTTAGTATCAAGAAGTGCAGGCTTAAATAACAATAGATAAATACTATTTTGTACTTAAAGTGAACATATGCATATGTTGCTATCTTAATTATTCGTGTTGCTACACTTATAAATTCTACCTCAATAAGACTATCAGATGCATCTTTGTTTGAAGATTGATATTTAAAATGGTATCTTGTGTTAATTCAGCTTTTTTATTAAAAATATATCTGATACTCTGTTGGAACTGATATTAGTTTACATAGTATACAAATGTGGATAATAGTTCATTACACTAATGCTTCAACTAGCAATTCTGTTACAGTAAACTTACTATCCAACAGGTAAACTAATAATAGGTCGAATGGAATTGTCTCTATTACATACTTTGAGTAGCAAGATTGTATGCTTATGATTTATTAGTTTGGATTAGATTTTCTAGTCTAAAGATTTTTAAACTTTCAGTTCTTTAACTTCGATGGGTTGGTTAAGCCTACAATTTTTTGTCCTCCCCGAGATACAGGAAGTCCTTGACTTATAACCATTTATTTAGTGACTGTTCAAAGTTACAACAGCACTTTAAAAAGTGACTTTGGATGATTTTTCACACTTACCATTGCAGCATCCCCATGCTTGACAACACATTTATGACTCACATTTATGACAGTTGCAGTATCCTGAGATAAGGTGATCAGCTTTTGCAATCTTCTAATGAGCAAAGTCAATGGGAAAACCAGATTCACTTAACAACCCTATTACTAATTTAACAACTGGAGTGATTCACTTAACAAATGTGGCAAGAAAAATCATATAATGGAATGGGGCAAAATCCACTTAACAAATTTCTCACTTAGCAACATAAATTTTGGGCAGAATTGTGATAAGTTTTTTGGTAAGACATAATAAGAATTAAAAAAATTAAGAATTTTTAGAAATATGTTAGATTAGTAAAACACAATGCAAGAATGGCAAACAATTCCCATATATATTACATTAAAAGATTGGTTTCAATGGGGAATCAGTTGAAATATCCAGATGAACATTAGAACATTTCAGGATATCCTAGTCTTCTCACCTGTTTTGTTGTTAGTCTTCTGAAGTTTGAATTTCTAAACACACACACACACACACACACACACACACACACACACAGAGAGAGAGAGAGAGAGAGAGAGAGAGAGAGAGAGGGAGGGAGGGAGAGAGAGAGAGAGAGAGGGAGAGAGATGAGTTAAGAGGGAAAGTCTATAAATAAATAAACAGACTTTTATCTCACAGCATTTAAGTAAAGATATTTTAAAATTGCAGCTTTAGTCAGAGAAGGATCTTTTGTATGAAGATATTCAATTCTGGGTGATTCCCCCCCCCACTTTCTTTTTTTACCCCATTGTGTCTAGCTGTCAGCTTGCCTGTTGTAAATCTTTATTTTAGAGAAATTGAGATTTGTAGATTATTTTCTCATAGTTGTCTTATCTACCTCCCTGTATATATCTGCATAAGAAAATCATTCTTGTTCTGTAAATGTTCTTTTAAACTTTCCCTCAATTTTCTGTCATGTCAGATATGATCTATAATGCCTCAGAATTATAAAATGAACACATATTTCTACTAGCTACATTTATTTGATTTTACTTCAGTAGCACCCAACTTCCAGAAGCAGTGCCAACAGTAAACATTGAAGGATGTTATAAACAAAGAGAAGTAGAATTACACTTTGTTTTTTCTAATTAAAGCACAGTGTTGAATGGGAAAGGGGAAGGATCAAAAGAAAGTGTTGTTCTTATATGTTTTTGTCTATATTCTAAATAATCAAACACCTAGGGTGATTTATTTCCATGTAGCTCACAAACACAGGAAGATTCTATAAAAAGAACCAATTTTTTATTAGTATTTTTGGTATGATATTTTCAGAAATCCCTGCTTCCCTTCAGATATATTGCACCACCTTGCACAGGAAATGGACAAAAGATTCTGTGTGTTTTGCCACTCTTATTTCAGCTGTAGAGTAGAATATTTATAAATCTAATGCAGATCTATTATTATGTTATGCCATGAGTATATGCTGCTTTCAGTACCAATGATGGAAATTGCACCAGCATCAAAGGCCCTAATTTGAATTCAGGCACTAAAGTAAAATCTTCCAAGCCAACTATACTATGCTAAGGGTGTTTACCTTTCTATTCATTAAACCCTTTTATTTCCAACTGTTTCATAACACATGTATCCACACATATACTCCTCTCTCCTTCTCTCAGTAATATGCAGGTGAACAATTTAAATAAGTAGCTTTAAAAGCAGATACACATTTTTGTGCTTAAAAATGAAACATATTTTTCTAGGTTGTGAAATAATTGAGAATATGCCAGCTGCTACCTGAGCCTCTTTAATTAAATATCTGCTTATTTAAATTACTGTATAATTTCTTTTTTTCCCAACCTGTTTCTTTCATTGATTTCTATGTTTTATCAATTTATTCTGTATATGAGGTAAATAGGATTTTTTTGAAAAAGAAAGTAAGATATAATGTTTAAATG